TATAAAATTGAATTAATCAAAAACCAAATTATTAAAAAGATGGAATTTCCATGAAAATTCTCTTTGTCAAAATTATCACAATTTGACTGGAAAAAAAAGACACAACTTCTCATAGGATTCAGTCGTAACAACAAATGACGAAATGAATTTGTTCTGAGAAGTGCAAAATTGTTTTGCGGTCGACAAAATTGGACATTGTCTTTTGTTTGTTTATCAGTCGTCATCTTCACCCATATAATTTATAACTGTTTAAAATTGGAAAATAGGATGATATTTTCTTTCTTTCTGTCATCTTTTTCATTCATATCATTTCGTTATCATCATATACTAAACTTTTTCAAATATTAGTTCTATCAGTAGCAATGATAACAATAAATAATCTATGTACAAAAAGAACGATTAATTTTAGATCATTTTTAGATTATATTTTAGATCATTTTGAAATGCAATAAATATTACAGTGTAATTTTTGTTGATTCAGAAATATAAAAAAAATGAATTATAAGAAAATGAAATAATTCATTAACAATAATATTTAGAAATTATTTCAGGGATAGAATAACAAAATAGAACAGGAGAATAATATAGAAAATCGAGATATCAACGCAACAAGTTATATCAAATAATGCGGTTTCGAAGGATAAAATTTATTAAAATGCGAATGTATGCTTAGAAAATGTTAATATGGAAAAATTTTGAACAGATTTTATAAATCGTCAGAAATTTTTGTCCGGAAATTCTAATTGCTCAACGTATAATTCTATTCCTATTGACTACAAATTATCCGGTTAAACGAGTCTAAACAAATTTGAACTAATGTCATTACGGCTATAAAATTAAAGTTGTTCTGCATGAAATTATCATTAGCACAAAACATAAATCTTATCATTAGCATAAATCTTGTTTTTTTTTTTTTAAATAAAAGTTTTCAAAGAAAACATAGGAATGAAAAATAGAAAAGTTAAATACATTAATGAATTCCGACATTTTAAATGCCATCTAATAAAAGTACAGACAAATTTGACTATAAAAACATAAAAGATTACGGTGACGAGAAAAGTCACCGGTCGTCCACTTCATTAAATAACTGCACAAATAAGAAAAGTTAGGATAAGGTGAAATAAAAGAAAAACGCAGAAAAGAATGAAAATGACGAGAATAAATGTTGTTTCAAAATAATTTTCCAGTTTCCCATATTTTTCCTCAATACTTCCTATAATTGTTTGAAATAAATTAGATAGAGAAAGAAGAAAAATGGTTACTTCAGCAAAATTACTGTATGAATCAAACAGAATATTAACTTAAATGGTTCATATTCATTTTGCTTCAACCGCCTATTGTGAATTTTTAATATATGCGACAAAGATTAGCAAAATATTATGTGAAAAAAAGAAACTCATTTTAATAAAGTTGGAATTCTGTTTCCTTTCTGTCATAAATTCAGCAAAGTATAGCTAAATGATTTCTGATCTGATTTTTTTGAACTCGATTCTCACCTGAATGCATTAAATTTCGAATTTGATTGATTTTTAAGAAGATCAAAAACAGTCCTTGATGGTTTTTCTTTTGGTGTTAGACTATTTTGAATTATTTGATGCATAAGATGAAATTCACAGACAATTATCTTATAGCCTACATTTATCAAGTTCAAATTGGTTTACTAAATTTCCTTTTTGTTCTTATCACTTTGTCAAATACTCTTCGAATGCAAAAAGATATCAGTATAATGTTAACAGTGATTGCAACGATAAGGAACGTTTTGTCGATTAACATCCGTTGAAATCCATCCATCCATTGATGAATAAATGAGCCAGTACAAGAAATCGAATCGTTTTTGAGACCCTAACAGATTGATAAACATTTTTCGCAGTCTTTCAATCAGAATAACTTTCATCGTCATCAGTTTTGGTTATTTTGTCCGTCGTATTTGTTTGCTTGTTAACAAGTACAGAATTCATTGAATTATTGTCCGATATTGTTGTTAACATTGTCGGTTTTGGATTCTGTAGAAGAATCGGTTTCATCATCGTATCATCACTTGTGGATGAGATCTCTGATGAATCTGCAAAATATGCAAAACATTTAGCTATAGACGGTAGATAGCATCGATGAGTGTCAATGAATAAGATTGAACTAATGATTTTACAATTCACAAAATAACTAAAGCTATTCTCGCTGATGTCAAATATCACAATCGATATTCTTCTATTCTGTCTACCAAATTGATAATATCAATGGATATTTCCATTTTGACATTGCAGATAACTTTCACATTCGATTTTTTCCACTCTTTTCTCTCT